TTCAGATTTTCTAATAATTTTCCGTATTTAACATTATACTATATATTCACTAGTCCTTTAGGGCAGTAAATAAAATGGCGATAGTTGTAGATGTTGTGACCCAAGGTTCCCACCATCAGCACTGAAAAGAAATGAAGTTTCTGTACAATTTGACCATTTCACATCAGATCACTCTGAATGGCTTTGTTTACATGCCAACCATTGAAATATGTAGGAATTATGTAATATATAGGAAAAAAGTGGAATTCCCCTTTAATCTTGCCAAATATCTGTGTTTATTTGCAATAACAGCTCATAACTATGCTGTGACATAAAATCTTAAGTCAGTTTTAGCCTTAAGGCTTTACTTTGCTTGAGCTGTCTAATATCTCTTCAGAGATGTGGTTAAGAGGAAAGGGAAAAAAAACCCTGTAAGTTGAGTTTTCCTTTCATCACTTACATTTTACAAGTTGTAAAATGTACACATACAGCTTTAAATTCAGACCTCAATCATTTTTCTTAAGATTAATGTATTTGTGTTTAGCTGTTTAAGAGGATGTACAAACTAACTCCAACAGCTTATCCAGTGGTGAAGTGTAAAGTAGCCTACAGAGTGGACCAACATGGTTCTGTGAACATCTTTTCACTGAAAATTCTTTCAGCATTTCAAACTGCCTCGGTATGTGAACATTATTTTATTAGATATATCTGAATTAATATTTCAATGTTCCTTTACAAGTGTACACCCAAAAGAAGAGAGCCTATTAGGAACTACAACACAGAGATGGTGAATAAAACAAGGGGAAAGTAGACAAATAGATGAAGTCATGAACCACTAAAATCTTTGAATATAGGAAATTATCAAAAATGTTCCCCTAAACTAAAAATAGTTGAGTAATGTGAGTTATATTCTACTTTAAGTACAACATACTTAATTTTGGTAAGTTTTTGTCTTGTCATAGCTGTTGGAAATCCCACGAGACTTAAACACATTTTATTCTTTTTCTATTTGACTTGATTGACTTTGACTGGTTTAATGTTTCGGATACTTACATTCTTTTAATGCTAATACCTTAAATACAATTTAAAAATGGGTCAATTCAGTTAATATTACTATGAAGTTATTTGGCTGTATAGTTATAATTTTGCACTACCCATGTTCAAATTGTGGCAGAGGTCTTGGGGAATCCCCTGGTGGAAATTGTACAGTGGTTGTGTTAAAAGTAACACAAAATGTGTCACTCTTAAGGGGACAAACAGATGTGCTATAAATACAACTGTACATATGTTTTAACCCCTTAAATGTCCAGATTTTGTTTTTAATACACACTTCTATAACTTAAGAACATCTTAGCCAGTTTATATCGAAGTCCCTGCAGTTACTGAATAATAAGCCTTAGTATGTAATAAGCCAGAGATTTTAAGGGGTTAAAACACATCTGTTTTGAGAGTGTACTGACCTCTTTTAGCAAAAACTTTGTCAATGTGAATCATGAATTTCTTCTGTACTGTGACTTTCTGTATGAAACACAGTATCAGGGTGATCAGTATAAATGATTACATGTAATACCGCTGCACACTAATGGTGCCATGATGCACCTCATCTGAAAAACAACACTGTGAATTCACTAAATTATTTGAAAAGTTTGTTACATTAAATGTATATAAAAAGTGCAAAATTATGCAAAAATCTTGAACTTGGTATTTATCGAAATCTCATGAAATCTCACGCTTTCTATGCACTATGTAGTATATCTGCTGTGAGACACTGTGCTGTGGTCTGATGTCTGGTGGTCTGTTGAAACTGACAAAAAGACAAAACAAGCAGGTTCACTGACCCACTTTTTCTCTGTTTCCCTGCAGTTTTAAACCAGATGTGGTGATGTGGTTTGCTGCTCTAAACTGTATGTTACATTATGAATTCAGGCCTGGTGAGTTTACAGTTCATCCAAATGGAGGAGTCTAATGTTGAACATTTATATTGTGCATTCAAGTTTTTATAAAATTCACATTTTAATCAAGGAAATAACACAGGACTGCCCCCCAGTTCAATTTTGTTTCTCTTATGGGGTGTCCCTTTACATTTAAAGAGACCCCTCCTTCAGTTCAGATGCAGGCACTTGCCTTGCCTACATTTTCCTTGGTGGGAGCTGAAAAATGTGAGCAAAAGTAAATAAATTAAAATAATAATAAAAAAAAAGAAACAAATCACAAATCAGCAGAACTGGACAAAAAGAAGCTCAGTTTGACTCAACTTTGGATTCACTAATTCACCTTTTTCTGTTTGAGGTTCAAACTCCACTGACCAATCAAAACAAGGGAGACAGAGAGTTTAACCAATGAAATAACGATCACAAATACAGTGAAATATGTAAGAGGGAGGATGAGGAAAGTGCAGATAATGAAGAAACAGAATACAAAGTGAGAGGCAGCAGAATGGTAGGCAGTGAAGTGCGAATTTTAAAAATAAAAAAAAAAAGAAAAGAAATCTGTTACCACATGATATCTGTCCAGCAGAAATGTATTAAAGATTGTTTTACTGGTTTTTGTTCATCTTTGTGTTTCACTCAACCAGGGCTGTGTTCTTTCTGAGCAGCGTTTAGTTAAAACATATCAGTTTGTGTTTTTAGCCTTCAGAGAATCTCAATATTACACATGATTAAATAAAGAATAGAGAAAATTACAGCGTCTTAATAACAGTGTTGTGTCAGGACTGCATGTTTCCTCTCACTGACTGATTTTCTATAAGACTTACCCAACACAGAGAGTCTGTACTCAGCAACAACTGTGACCTGTCACCACCACTCTTACTTCATACAGTCCACTATCAGTCTTCTGTAAGTTCTTCAGTGTCAGACTGTAGGTTTCCCCATTGAACTCCACTCTGCCTTCATAACCAGGATACTGTTTAGTTTTTTTACCTTCAGTATAATATTTTAGAACACTATTGTCCCTGTTAAAAACCCAGAGTAAGTGATCAAACTCTGGTACAGGATGCTGTATGTCCAGAAGAACAGAACTGCCAACCATTCCAAACACATCACTGGACACTGTAGAGAGAGACAAAGATTGGAAAATATTAGAAATATTTTGTTATACACTTTTAAAAAGGTGGTTCTTCAAGTGTGCTTTAGCAAAAAAATGTTCTGTATAGAACCACACTCAAAAAAACCCTTTGCATGATTAATGGGATCTTTGCATCATGAAATGGTTTTTAAAAAGGGTTCTATGTAGCACCAAAAAGTGTTCCTCTGTTGTTACAATGTCATAATTGTAACAATATAAGAACTCTTTTTTGGTGCTATATGGAATCCTATTCTTTACTTAAAAACCCTTGAAGAACCATCTGTTCTAAGTGTGTACTGTGATTGCTTTATCATGGTTTAGTACTGAGCGACATGTTAATGATTCATTTATAAAACATCTGTACTGTGTTCATTTATACAGTGAGAACTAAATATTCAGACACTTTTCTGTTTTCCATCTAATTCAAGTGTATACATTCAGTTTAATTTTACACAATGTCTTTTGACTTGTACGTATCAATATGAGCAACAATATGTGTTCATAAGGAAAAAAGACATGTTTAAGAAAAATAAAATTAGTAGGAAAATAAGAAAAATAAAAACTGGTGTCTTATATACACGCATATGCAAATGTTTGGTCACCCCTGGTCAAATTACATGTTGTGTTGATCTTCTGAGTGAAAACAAATGAACCCATCTGCTACAGAGACCACACTTCTGCACATTTTTAAGTAAAACTACTGTTTATTTGCTGAATGTGTTGAACATAGAAAACCAAAACATCAAATACAAAAATTATTGCACATTCTATATTTTATGGGGTTTTTTAATGTTAAATCCAAAAAATGTGCAGTAATGCTAATTACATCATATATATGGCTACATGTAGTGCTAGTTTAAAGGCTTCAACTGGTAAACAGTAAATGTGTGTTTAGCTGGAGCTGTTTGTGCAGATATAACCTCAGCAGGCTGAGTAAACAACAGAGCAGGAGGACTAAACTCAGTAACCAAAACCATCAAATAACACATAAATGATATTAAATAGTTTGTAGCCTAGTTTAGTACATTTTGCTGTGCAAACATTCTTATAAGTTCAAAAGAAATGTGCCTTTGAGTTGGATTGTAGGTTTAGTCAGTCAAAAATAACCATAGGCTTTTATTCAGTTTAGTCAGATCAGCTCTTCTTGTGTAGATTGTGTGTTAACAGTGTGGAGGACTAAACCAACAATCATTTACACTCTTTAGTTGACAAACCAACTCAAAAATGATACATTATCATACATTTTAACCTCTACAGTGATGAAGTACAGAGACATATTTACCTGTGATTGAGATCAGAGTGGAGAGAACAAAGATCAACTGTAGCAACATCGCCATTACAGAGATCATATAAACTTCCTCATTAACAGTGAAAGAGGAAGTTCTGAAAGACCTCCTCACTTACTCAGAGAGGTTTACTAATGTGCTGATGTTTATATGGACATCATAAGGAGAAAGTGACAGAATATTCTACACTAAAAAACAGTTTAATACAGCTTACTTTATTAGGAACGAAACACAACAAGGGGCCCTCAATTCATTCATCCCTCATTCATGTATTTGTTTTTCATGCTCAACACTGAGCACATACGGGCTGGTAGAATCAGTTTTAAACAGTGTGGTTCTATAGAATTAATCACCTTCAAGGATCATTCAGTTAACTAACTCAACTGTAAAGCATCACTGTGTCTTCATATTATGTTTTAATAACACATCTGACATAAAAAATATTTTTATTGCCTGTCAATTCCTGTTTGATTTCCTCTGCGGTTAGTCGAGTTTCTCTTTATTAGCATCTGTGTCTGTTCTGCACTTTGACTTCTACAAAAGGAATTATGCATTATGCACTATGTTTAGTTTATTTTAAATGGGTTAACTAGACAAAAACATCATAGGCCTTTCATATATAACGTAAACTGTATTCCAAAATAATTTCACCCATGGTGTCCGTACATAGACAGTTCTGTTACTTTTTTTATTACAGGTCATGCAGTTCAAGTACAAATCTTTTACATTTTTAATGTATTCTTTAAAAAAAATAATAATAAAGCATGAAAGTATTGAGTGGCCTGATTCCACCACTACAGTAATAAGCTAGCACTTCTTTGGGAATCTCAATATTATGTTGCTCATACACTTAAACCCAGTTAAAAGCCCTTTTTACCACCCACTAAAAACACTATCTTTGGAGCATCACTGATCAAACAGACTTCACATGAAGAGCAGGTTCATCTTTAGCCATGTTTGTAAACATATGCATAAACAGTAGTTACAAATGGATTTTAATACATTTTCTAGTACATTCTGTCAGCTGATATCTGAGAAGCTACAACAGTGATGCTAAAAAAAAATAAATAAAAAAAAATCTATGTTTTGTGAGCCTGTTAGGTACAGCTATACAGTAGAGTGGATTATAATCAGAGATTACAGAATAGAGTATTATGTAACTGTAACAGCTATAATAAACTGTGTAACACCATCCATGTCTTTAAGATGATTTGGTCAGTCTTTCTCTGACATGGACAGTGATGACAGCAGACAGCATGAGGATCAGCATGATGGAATACAGCACAGTCTTCAGCAAACACACAGATACACCAGCAGAGGGAGACACTGAACCTGAAACACGCACAACAAAAACCCAAGTTTATATTAAATGTGATGACCAAATATAAAGGAACTAACAAACTAACTTGTCTCAAGAAAATCAGTCTGTCATAAAACAGAAGCTTTTAATCAATGATAACCAACGACTGCTGTAGGAGGCTTATCAGAGTAACAAATGAGAAATAGATCTGTGAAAACAGGTGGCTACTGTTAGAAGTGTATCACAGTGAAAATGAGAGTGAATGACCATTACTAATTACCGTCATTGTGACAATATGTTAATCATTATTAACTATAATTATTAGATATAGTAATATTTGTAGAACTCGAGTGAAACAACGTCTATGATTAAATAGCCCCAGTTTGAGTTTGTGCAGGTATTACTATCATCAGGAGGGTGAGTGGGGCAGGCAGGTGAGTGTTTCCTCACAGCAGGAGAACTTTTTTGATGTTTTTCTAATTGAAAATGAGTTAACAACCCCTCCATAGGAGAAACACACAAACACTGCATGTTTCTGCAAATTTAGTGCACAATGTCTATTTATTTGCAGTTTCCAGCTGACAGACAGCTTAAATAAATACACAGCAGTTACTCAACACTGTTACTGTATCTGTTATTGGAACGTCTCTTCTTTCTTTAAGATCTCTGACTGTTTCAATTAATACATTTACTGTTTTTTTTTTTTAATTAAGTGTATATTAGCTCTACATTGGGAGATGATTGGGTTGCTTTATTTAATAAAGTGTGCAGCCCCCTGAAATGTACGGTGTGTGTGTGTGTGTGTGTGTGTGTGTGTGTGTATGTGCAGAAGTTGTATTTTAGGCTGCCTATTGTTGTCTTTCTCGTTATATGGTCATGTCTGTCACACCTGTCACTTGTCATGTATAAGCTGGGTCTATTCTTGGCATCAGTCCAGCTATAAAACTGTGACAGTCCATTGTCTTACGGGCTGGCTGGCTGTCTGGAACCTGTGCGCACAACGAATAAACTTCATTTGTCCAGACAACAGACCTAGTTCCCTGGTTCGTTGGGGTTTGGACTCTATCATCCCCTTGCTGTTTGTCCAGTGCGACGCTTGTATGCACTTCAACAAAGTGTGTCAGGGACAGGAGATGTCAGTAACTGTCACTGGAATAAATAATAATGTTACTAACCACATTTTAATGCAAAGTTTTCTTTCTGAAAACATAAAAGTGGTTGTAAAATTCATAATCCTAGAAGCAAAACTATGATTTGCTGTGTTATAATCAAATATGCAACTCACTTTTTAATCTCCCCCCACTAGGCACCCATGAAAGATACATTGTCTATTGCTTAGAATAGGTTGATGAAAAAAAAACAAAACAGGTGTGAATTATTTGGGTGATTTGTGAGGCAGTGTTTGTGTCTGTGTGTATCTGTGTTCACACCTTCACCTTCAGCAGCACAGAGTTGTTTAAGTTCTCTCATCTCCAAAACATCCTTCTTCCAGCTGACTGGGTTGCTATGGTTACAGACGATAGTGCTGCCACTGACAGACAGGGAAAGGGCGTCGCCTCCAGGTGATGTCACTTCCTTCTCCTCACAGGTTTCTTTGTAACAGCTGGAGCTGACAGAGAGGTCATGACCTCTACAGGTGAGAGTGATGTTGCAGGTGTCTCTGCTTAGCTGGTGAGTCAGGACTGGAGCCTCCACTGGATCTGAGGTAGAAGATATACAGACACATCACTGTAATGCTGACGGTTAGTCAATGATAAATCACTCATCACAGATCACAGACATCATTAAAAGTCTTTCAGAACTGGTCAGTATCTTTCAGAGTAGCTGAGATCCAGACCTCAGAGACAAATGAATAGAGAAAAAATAATAACAACTATCGTTTTTAGTGTTTTACACTTGAGCTGGTGGGTTGAGGATCAAAACTACCTTGAGAACATTGTAGCTAAAATCAAATGCTTTAATAAATAAGCTTTATATTGATCTAGCAATGCTTTTAAAAGGAATTCCATAGATTTTTCAAAATTAATTATGTCTTTAATTATAGTTGTTTACATTTTTCACTTTCACAAATTCTCCTTACAGCTGCCTTAACAATAAGCTTTTACACAAAAAGATTACAACAGTTTGACATAAAGCTTTAGCTTTATGCTTTTTGATGTTGGAGAATTACATGCAGTGTGTTGTATAAAGGCATTATACAACAGTTAGTTCCAGCCACGCAAGCTGATTGGTTGAGAAGCATTCTAACTGTGCTGTTATTTCACCATTACATCACTGGTTTTTCACAAACGCTGTATCACTCCATTGAGACGCCCTTGCTAAGCAACGACTTTGACAGCTGTAGGAGACGCTCAAGCCATTTGAACGTTTTTACTTCTTACTTTACCACAAGCAGAAAATTAATACTTTTAAGATCACATTTGACCGACAGCCGATTTGGACTCTGAAGATGAGACTACACTAAATTCCCAAACTGTCAGTCGGTCTGTGTGGAGCTAAAGAATGAACTGCCGGCTGTGCAGCGAGTGGGCGGAGTTCGTTACTCTGACGAAGCAACGAGCTGCTTGTTAAGGAACTATAATTTAGCAGAGGGAACTGTGAACATTAAAACATATTAAATGCTACATCCACAGCCCAGTTTATTTATTTATTACTTTATTTATTTAACTGTTAATTGTATAAAAACAATAGAACACTCTCAAGGTCATGTGTTATTGCAAAATAGAACATCGAGATGGTAAAACAAGGGGAAGTATGCAAATAGATGGAGTCATGAACCAATAAAATCTTTTGAATACAAGGAATCATCAAAAAAGTTCCCCTAACTGTTGAGTAATTTGGGATATATCCTATTTTAAGTACTACAGGCTTAATTTAGTTGGGTATGCATGATAGCAGATGGAAATACGACTCAAAAAAGCAAAAAAATATATATATTTTCATGTGACTTGATTGACTTTGACTGGTTAACACTTCAATGCTAATACTTCAAATAGAATTTAAAAATGGCCCATTTCAATTGAAATTAATTTGATTTGTGTACATTTACATAATTTAGCAATCTCCAGGGTTGAAATTAAGGCAGAAATTTTTTGAGAGTCCACTGGCGAAAAATCTGAGCATGAGGTGTCATATAGGCCTATTAATGCATATTTTTGTGAGTTTTGCCTCTGTAATGTGCAAGTATTACTTGGCCAGGGTTTTTAATTTCATATCTGTATATCAATACACTGAATGTCTTAATCATTAAACCGCAGGCCTTTTATTTAATTAAGATGAATCAACAACCACCATGCAAAACTACTGTTACTCCTATATTCGGTCTGACTACTATTATTAATAAGAAACTAATTTGTAAGTTCTGTAAGACATGAAAGTAGGAACTGAAGAGTGGACTTCCATACAGACCCATATATTTTTTTGGGTGTTAAATAAGATTGTACACTAGTTGTGTTAAAAGTCGTACAAAATGTGTCACACAGATGTATTTAAAAATAATAGCCTACATGTGGTTTAAAACACATCTATTTTAAGAATGTACTGACCTCTTTGAGCAAAGACTTGAATCAAAGAATCATGAAAGCAAAGAATCATGAATTCCCTTCTGTACTGTGACTGTTTCTGTATGAAACACAGAATCAGAGAGTCTCTGAGTGAGCTGAGCATTTCAGTTGATGAAGTGGGAGGGAAGTGAGAGAGAGATTATTTTTCAGGTTCACTGACCCACCTTTTCCAGGGATGGGGGAGTAGCTAAGTATCACACTACTTAATTGTAGTAGCTAACTACAATTTTTGTAGCTAATAGCTGTAGCGCTTACAAATGTTTGTGTAGCTTTAGCGATATATCTAGTTCTGCTGTGGAGCCACAACCGCTCTGCAGCAGTGGAGAGATTATTCAGCTGTGCAGACCGGATTCTCACCTCTAACAGAGCCAGGGTGACTGATGAGGGTTTTGAAGTTTAATAAAGGACTCTGAATGTCATGTCTGTAAATATCTTGCTGAAATGTTTAAATTGGATTAGTTTTATTTCAACAGTTGGCAATGCTCTGCACAAAGTTGTTTAGTTTGTATATGTTTATTTTTGTTGATTTTTGTTAGGAAAAACCTGGAACTTCACATTTTTGTTGGATATCACGCTTTTGGTTGAGTAAGCTTGATAGTTGTTTACACTTAAACTTTTTGGTTTTGGTGATCTTTTTGTATATTTGCATCTTTTCAATTGTATGTTTCTTTCTGGCACAGAATTAAATGCAGGGTCTTGTTCACACTGTCAGTTGGGCTTGTTTGGTGTGTCAGGTGGAGATTCACAAACATTCTGACAGTCACGCTTTGAAAGTAGCTAAAAGTAGTGCACTACTTTTAAAAAGTAGCTAAAAAGTAGCCACTACTTTTTCTGGAAAAGTAGCTAAATTGTAGCTTGCTACACATTTTGGGAAAGTAGCTTCAAAGTAGCTAACTACTCATTTTTCAGCAGTTGTCCCAACCCTGCCTTTTTCTCTGTTTCTCAGCAGTTTTAAACAAGGTTGACGTGGCTCTGTGCTCTAGATCATATGACTACATTATGAATTCAGGCTGGGTGAGTTTACAGTTTGTCCAGGGGGAGGAGTCTAATTGTAAAATCAATAAAAGTGTAGAAGATGGTCACTGCATGTGAGAGCATTCATTTTTTTTTATCAGAAAATTCACAGTTTTATCAAGGAAATAACACTGAACCCCCCTCCACAGGTTCAATTTTGTCTCTCTTATGGGGTCCCTTTATTTTAATGGGAGGTCCAGGACCACACATTCAGTTAAAACCCTGGGACCCACGCTGTCTATATTTTTCTTGATTGAACCTCAAAGATATGTCCAAAAATAAAAAGGTAATAGTAATAAAATAAATAAAATATTCTTAACAAACAAATAGACACTGTTAATATAACTAGAGATACAGATGCCAGAATAAGTGTCAATTTGAGGTCCAATGGCTCTGTAAGGAACGCTGTCATTGCAAGACAACACTCGTGTGCACCAGTGAGAAACAATTAATCACAAATCAGCAGAACTGAACAGAAAAAAGCAAAACCAAAAGAGATCACTGTGGTTTCACTCACTTTTGCTATTTGAGGTTTAAACTCCAAAAAAAACAGGAAGAGAGAGAGTTTAACAGATGATAAAATGATTGTTAATAAGGTGAAATATGTGAGAGTGAGGACGAGGAAAGATCAGATGATGAAGAAATAGCTAAATAAAATGAGAGGGATGAAAATAAATGTAAAAAGTTGAAATATCTGTTACCACATGCTATCTGTGTATCAGAAATGTGTTAAGATTCGTTTTCAGTGAGAGACAGAGGTTGTGTTCACTGTTTTTTGTTAGTCTGATGTTGTACTCGACGTGGGTGGTGTTCTTTCTGAGCAGCACTTGTGATTTTAGCCTTCAGAGAGGCTCAATATTACACATGATTAAATAAAGAATAGATACAATTACAGCATCTTAATAACAGCAGTGTTGTGTCAGGACTGCATGTTTCCTCTCACTGACTGATTTTCTATAAGACTTACCCAACACAGAGAGTATGTACTCAGTAACAACTCTGACCTCATCACCAGATGCTTTTGCTTCATACAGTCCACTATCAGTCTTCTGTAAGTTCTTCAGTGTCAGACTGTAGGTTTCCTCATTGAACTCCACTCTGCCTTCATAACCAGAAAACAGTCTAGTTTTTTTCACTTCAGGATAATATTTTAGAACATTTTTAGCTCTGTTAAAAACCCAGATTAATTCATCAGACTTCGGTACAGGATGCTGTATGTCCAGTTCAACAGAACTGCCAATAAGCCTAAATACATCACTGGACTCTGTAAAGAGAGAAAAAAATAAGAAAATATCTTTTGTTATGTTGTGATTGTTTCAGTATGATTTAGTAATGTGTGGCATTTTAATGGCTGATTTATAAAAACTCTATATTGTATATTAATATATACAGTGAGGACAAACAAGAATTCAGACACTTTTGTTTGCTATTTATTGTTTTACAGTTTGTCATTTGATTAACATTTTGACTGTATTTATAAATATGAGCAAAAAATATGCATTCATGAACAAAGATTTGTTTAAAAAAAATAAATTGATAGGGGAAAAAATTCAACTTGCATTGTATTTACAGCTGTAAGCAACAGTTTGGGCAATCCTGGTCAAATAAACACATGTTTACTGTTTAAAGTAGCACTAAACATAATTCTAGTTTAAAGTTTTAAACTGGTAAACAGTAAATCTCTGTTTAAGCTGGAGCTGTTTGTGCAGATATAAACTCAGCAGGCTGAGTGAGAAACAGAGCAGGACTAAATTCAGTAAACAAAACCATCATATTATATATACATGACAATAAATAATATGTAGCCTAGTTTGTTCAATGTTGCTGTTCAAACAATCTTACAGAGAAAAAAAAGATATAAACCTATAAACCTCCCTCTCTCAGGTTCATGTGACATAATTTTGTAAGGTCTGTCTTACAGCTGAATTGAAGGTTTAATAGGCATTTACTTTTAGCCTCTAAGATATATATATTGAATGTATACATTGAGATCAACTGTCTTTGTGTGGATAATGTGTGTTGAGTGTGTAAAAGAATAAACCTGCTTTTGGTTTACTTAGTCAGTTCAGCTGTGGCATTAACAGATGTCTAAAGATCTGAAGAGATCTTAAAACATGTACACATTAAAATGTTTTTTTAACACTAATTATATTCGGGACAGTAGAATATGCACAGTTGTAGTAATCACTTAAGCTCTGTATTATACAGAGCAATTTAAAACTAATACATTATTAAACATTTTAACCTCTATAGTGATGAAGTTCAGAGAATTGTTTACCTGTGATTGAGAACAGAGTGGAGAGAACGAAGATCAGCTGCAGTGTCATCGCCATTGCAGAGTGTAAGAAAAATTCTCCTTTTACAGTGAAGGAGGAAGTTTTAAAAAAGACCCCTTACTGACTTAGAGAGGTTTTGAAATGTACTTATGTTCATTTCACAATGAAGGAGGAAGTTTTGACTTTTCTTATGTGCTCATTTTAATGCGGACAAATACAAAATATTGTACACTTCTATTAATATTAAATCCTGAATAAAAACTGCACAACCAGACAAGCCAATCTATTTTTAAGGGTCTTGCAATGACGTGGTTATAAAGTCTTTTACACTACACTTTAACATATCTGACAGTTCAGCTGGTTTTCTCTGTGGTTAGTCTGGCTTCTGTTCAGTTTGGAGAAGTTCCTTTCCTGTTTCAGCATGACAAAGGAAGTTCCAAGAAATGCAGAATTTGGTGTGGAGGAACTTGACTGGCCTTGGAGGAACTTGACCAGTCTGAGCCCTGACCTCAATCCCAGCTAACACTTTTGAAATGAACTGGAACACAAACTGCAAACCAGGCCTTCATGTTCACCAACCTCACGAATGCTTCTGTGACTGAATGCAAGCAAATTCCCTTGGCAACGTTCCACAATCTAGTGCAAAGTCTTCCCAGAACAGTGGAGGCTGTTATAACGGAAAAGGGGGCCAACTCCATAATCATGCCAACAAGCTGCTTAACAAGCATATATGGATGTGATGTTTGGGTGTCCACATACTTTTGGCCATGTAGTGCAGTTATGGAAAATATTTGGGATGTTATTGATTTACACTACTTTTAACAACATTAGCTTTGTAGATCCAGTGCTGTGGATGCAGGTTGTTCATGACATTAGGCAATAAAAGGTAACATGATTTGCCCAAGATACAATACTCTGGTACAGTCAGTCCTTACAATGTTATCCACCTTATTTTTCACACAATCACTGTATTTTGAGATTTTGGCTGAAATTCCAGTTATTCTTTTAGCTAAGTCAAGGAATACATGTGCTTAATTGTGAAATTATCGTTTTATGTCCCAGTAAATGTCTCTGAGACATTCTGGGACAATGTACAGTTTGTGGCTGTCACTACAGCTGATTGAAGCTGACAGTACAGCAAGAACAAGAATACACTTCTCAAGAAAACACATGAATGTGGCTTCACAATCACTGCTTGAAAAAGCCCAGCCATTATTGTTGAAATCTGTTGCCACTAAACATGCGTAATGACACTGGTGCACAGATTTATGCCTCCTAACAAAACAGAACAAAAAAGTGTAAACAAAAGTGAAAGATTGAAATGAAATGACTTTATTAGTATGAATAATCCATGTAGGACAGATAAATAGAATGCTCTGATTAAAACATTTCTGTCATGCAAATTCAGGTTTCTGTCAACAAATCGATTGCAAACATCGGCACACAAGCATTCAAGCACCTCAACAATAAAGATTATTTACAATTTTATTTATCCTCACATTTGTATCCTGTTAGGATGTCATTACCATTTCACATATTGTCTCTTTATGTGCCCATGATGGACTGGCGGCCTGTCCAGGGTGTTTTCTGCTTTCTGCCCAATGGATGCTGGGATGGGCTCCAGCACCACTGGGAGAATAAACGGCATAGATAGAGTGTGTGTGTGTATTTAATGTGAGACCAAATATCCTCTAAAAGGCTTAAATCTGGACTCTGACCTAAACCCAGCAGGAAGAGCCATTATATTTCGGGCTTGCCATCTTTTTATTTTGATGTTTTTTCACAGAATTGCGTTCAATAATAAAGGGCCATATATGTTTTTTAAGATGATTTGATCTCTTTCTGATGTGGATGATGACTGTTGTTAACATGAGGAGAATCAGAATGATGGAATAAAGCACAGTCTTCAGTAATCACACAGGACAACCAGCAGAGGGTGCCACTACATCTGGAAAAAAGCAGAAGAACACCAATCATTGTATTAACTTCGCTGACCATATCTTAAGTGTTCAGTCTTTAGTCCATTCTCTGTCAGTGGTTCTCAAACTGATCCTCAGGGACCCCAGACAGTCCAGATTTTTGCTCCAACCTAACTTGCAACACACAAAGCCTGTTTACCCCTGGCAATAGCATGTGTTTTGTGTTGTGGATAAACTTTTTTCCATTTCAATTTTTAACTAAAACATGTCCCCAGTGTGACCAGATGACACAACCTGCAAATTTTTCTGCATAAAAAGCACACCAACATATACAAGCTTGGCTCGGATGCTTTCATCAGCCCAGAGTGCAAGAGGGGCTTGGTTTGGGGAACTCCAGCCTCGTGTATCCTCCATCTTTCATTTCATTGTTTAGCTTCTCACCTGCTGGTCAGCACTTAATAGATTTCCACTCATGTAATTTGTATACAGATTACAAAAGCATCATTTCATTTGCACAAGTGTTAAATGTGGTCCAGATCTGTCTCTGACCACCTCTTACTGTGGTTTGAGAGATCGGATCGTAATCTGATCCCAGTGCGTGCCGGGAGTGTTTACCCCTTATCATGCAATCAAGTGAAATCAGAACGTGATCTGGTCACTGTGAACACATTAACCCTTGTGAAAGAAAAATGTGTTTAAGTGAAGTGTTTTAAAAAGAAAACAACATACTTTTAATGTTTGCACTTTAAACACACTTTAATGTGCCATTTTGGAACAACATACGACAAATGTTAAATGTATTTAAATTACATACATATTTAATGCATTTAGTTGTGTTTTTGAGTACTTTTTTCAAAGAATTTAAGTAATTTATGTTTTTGAGTATGTAACCTGTAGACACGACTGTTATTACACTTGAAATATATTACGAATATACTGTACTTAAGTGTTACATATTGAGTTATACTGAAACCACAATGCAATTCAATGAATTTCAAATAAGATTTCAGTATCAATAAATACACTAAAAACATGTATTTAGGACTTGTTTACCCACAGGACTTCAACATTTAAAGAAATCAAAGAGAAAAGCTCTCACATCTTAAATTACTTTATCTTGCTTAATGATGTTTAAGCCCCTATCCAGCAGCATTGCTGTGTCTGATCCACTCGTACCAGCACAACACACACTAACACACCACCACCACGTCAGTGCAGTGATGAAAATGATCCACCACCCAAAGAATACCTGCTCTGTGGTGGTACTGTAGGGGTCCTGACTAAAAGGAGGCAAAAAACGTATGCAGATACACAGATTATTATTATTATGTTGTATAATCTCCATTATATAATAAATGTACTGACTTTGTCTCAGCACACTTCATGTATGCACAAGATTAAATAAAGAATAGAGAAAATTACAGCATCTTAATAACAGCAGTGTTGTGTCAGGACTGCATGTTTCCTCTCACTGACTGATTTTCTATAAGACTTACCCAACACAGAGAGTCTGTACTCAGCAACAACTCTGACCTCATCACCAGATGCTCTTACTTCATACAGTCCACTATCAGTCTTCTGTAAGTTCTTCAGTGTCAGACTGTAGGTTTCCTCATTGAACTCTACTCTGCCTTCATTACCAGGATACTGTAATTCTGGATAATATTTTAGAACATTATTAGTTCTGTTAAACACCCAGACTAATCCATCAAACTCTGGTCCAGGATCCTGTATGGCCAGTTGAACAGAATCACCAACCAATCTGAACACATCACTGGACACTGTAGAGAGATTAAATTAGATAAGATTAGAAAATATAAGAAATGTTTTGTTATACTGTGATGGCTTTATCATGATCTGGTGTGGCATCTAAAAGACTAATCCATAAGGCCTCTGTATTGTATGTTAGTATATTGAGTGAGGGCATAGAGTTATTTAATATAATTGAAGTGTATATATCCACTATACACATATAATGTCTTTTTTTTTAAATATGAACAAAAAGTATGTATTTACAAGTATGAAGAAAGATATGTTTAAAATTAAATCGATAAAAAAAAAACGTTTCAACTGGTGTCATATTTACAGTTATATGCCCCTCGTCAAATGATATTTTGTAAAAGTTACACATTCTCTACAGAGAACACACTTCTGCACGTTTTAATACTCAATTACTGTTCATTTGCTGAATTGAACACGTTGAGGAACAACTAAAACAATAAAACACTAAATTAGTAAAACAATGCCAAATTTAGTTTGTGAATGTGTGTGAGTGAGTATTAAATAACAAGGTTATTTATTTAGAGGAGTGATAATGTACAGTAACGCTAATAACACCATAAACATTTGATTACGTATACATCCTCCTGTTAAAGTCCTGTTAAAAATCCAGACCAAGTCATCAAACTCCAGTACAGGATGCTGTATGTCTAATTGAACAGAACTGCCAACTTGTGCGAACACACGTGTGGGCACTGTAGAGAAAGAACAAAATATGAAGGTAAGTTGTTTTGGTATTTTGTGATAACCATCATCCTTTAACACTGGTTGGCGTAACATTAGTATGGCATCATTTAGAAACATTTCCAGTGTTAAATGGGAATGAACCACTCAATTCAATGTGAGGAACATGGTTGCAGATTGGAGGTAAACAATGTAACATTAAAGTATTTTGTCTGCCAAGGAGAAAATTGTGACATATTTTAAACATATTGTATATTGTCATGCTCTCTTGCATTCAAGCACAATATTTTTTGTGACACGGCTTTTACTGAAATAACAACTCATGTGCTAATTAGAATATTTGTGACGTCTTCATGTTGTATCTGTTTTCTGCCTAGTGTCAGATGATATCTGCCTTTTACATCTGATTGGTTCTCTTCTTGTCTGTGTTCACATATGCTGTATATTCATACAGCCAAATTCCCAATAAAGCATTTACATGTAAAATCATCACTCAGAGAGAAAGTTAGAAGTGACAGAATATCTTTCTTGTTGTAGTGACTGGTCCTTGGCAACACCTTTTGCACATGCACAGCTCATGTCAGCTGCCATGTGGACTGAACACACTGCTCTGCCTCTCTGCCACTCATTGAACGGAGCAGATGCAGAAAACAGTGTGCCTCTCACTCATTGGGCAGTACTGCCCACTCTTTTCTACAGAAGGTCCAGGACAACTTACAATTTAATCATTTTATACAGGTTGGTGAAGTTAGGAGTGTTAGGAGTCTTGCCCAAGGACTCATATTGGTATAGAGTAGGGTGCTTATCCAGGCAGGGACTGAACCCCAAGCTACACTGTAGAAGGCAGAAGTGTTACCCACTACACTATACCAACCAGGTATGGCAGCTAAGGTTTATCCATAAAGTCACTACTTTTGTCTTTAGGCTAAGGAGTCTGAAAAGTCATTAAATCTAGCAACAAAGTAGCTAAGTTGGCAACATTGACAGCCGTGCTGATAATGAACTGAGCCTATGGCAATGGCAGATAGTAACAGTTTCTGTGCAGTGATTGGAAGGCTGAGAAAAGAAGGCAGAACTTGGCGAAGAGTGTAATAATTTGGTGGGCTATAATACAGTGATGGCACTCACAGAAAACAAAGCAAATTTCACTTTTTTTAAAATGTCAGCTTAATGATGATTGGGTAGGCCTGTTATCAATGAGTAGGGGAGATATATACATCTCCTTTTAAAAAAAGGCCAATCAGAGGCCTTCAATTAGTCTGTGCATTACATCGCCTCTACTTACCTAACACAGAGAGTCTGTACTCAGCAACAACTGTGACCTTGTCACCAGCTGCTTTTGCTTCATACAGTCCACTTTAGTTTTTTTCACTTCAACATAATATTTTAGAACATTTTGAGTTCTGTTAAAAACCCAGGATAATTCATCAAACTCCAGTACAGGATGCTGTATGTCCAGTTGAACAGAACTGCCAATCAATCTGAACACATCACTAGACACTGTAAAAACAGAACAAAGATAAGAAAAGTTTTTTTTGTTTTTTGTTTTTTTCTCTTATATGGTGATGACATGCTTAATTAATGCACATCACATTAATAACTAATTTACTATGCATGGACATGTATGTTAATGCATGGCATCATTTAAACAAACAGCATTTCCAATATTTACAGGGTATAAAAGTAAAAGATATATAATTTATGTGACTATATGAAATGTTAGGCTAAAGCCTTTTCAGTGTCACCAAGCACATGTACACTTTGAACACCCACTTACACTGCTCAAAAATTATACATCATGCATTTATCCTCTGTATTGGTAAATGTCAGAGATTATTTTTTTTACCTGTGATTGAAGTCAAATAGGAGAGCATAAAGATCAGTTGTAGTAGCATTGCCATTGCAGAGTATATGAGCAAGTTCCCTTCCTTATTTCGTTCAGCTGGTGTATTTTTGTGGATAGTCTGATGACCTTTTTGTATCTGCTTGTCTTTTCTGTTTGAATGTTCTCTTGCTGTTCTAGACTGCTCCACAGTATTCCTGATAAATGACTGGTCAGGTTTTATTGACTTTGCATAATTATCAACCAAAAAATGTTTATATATGCCAAGTGTGTGTTTACAAAAGGGGTCAGTATGATGAACAGTCCAAATCTCAACCCAGAAGATGTCCATGTACATCCAATCTGTAAACAAGACTTCTTCTGTGGTGTAAATAACTGGATGGTTCTCACTGGTAAGAACAGTCCATCAGTTTTAAGAGTCTTTAAGACAAACATTCTGTCTTGATCCAGGGAAGTAGGTACTGTAAGCTGTAGCTGGAAATGTTCAATGATATCCTGAGTCATCCCCAGTTTTAAATGAGTTGCAGTAAGAGTGATCTCATATAATCTGGGACATACGGTAACACTTTAACCCTGCTACATAACACTGGCATAACAATGCCATAAACGTGTAATGGTAGATGTCATACGCTGTTATGAGTTTTTGTGCCAGATTATGTTCAGGAATATAACAGCGTTGTTATTATTGTTATTGTAACCATCACGAGAGATGCCAGTAAGGAAGAATGGGCCAATATGTTATGTTATATATATATATATATATATATATATATAACATGCTAAACGTTGTTAAATGTGAGTGTAAGTGTGTTTGCTAGGAAGCCACCCTAACATCAAACATTATAACATAAATTATGAGAAGCAAAGAGTGTTTTCCACTCAGTTTACACCCAACATTAAAAGCATGTGACCATGGAAAATATTTCCAATGATGGACTGAAAACTCCACTGGAAATGAGGAGCAACTGCTTAACACAGGAATATCTTAACACTGTTTTGACTGGCTGCAATAGGCTTCACCAGCATGACATGCAAAAACAATAATCTGTGGTTCGCTGTTTTGCATGTCTATCAAACCCCCTTCCTGTCAACAATAACCAGCTAAAGACATATGTTGGATTGTTACATGACTGCTAACAGTTTAGATTTTCGTTTGGCTTCATGGCTCTTGCTGACTTGAATCCAGGCTAAGTAGACTGACAGACTATTAATACAATACAGGTATTATTTGGGTGGCGGATCATTCTCAGCACTGTAGTGACACTGACGTGGTGGTGGTGTGTTAGTGTGTGTTGCGCTGGTATGAGTGGATCAGATATAGCAATGCTACTGGTGTGCTTCCACTCAACGTCCACTCCATTAGACACTTCCACTATGTTGGTCCACCTTGAAGACGTAAAGTCAGAGACAGTAGATCATCTGTTGCTGCACTGTGTTAGTGATTCTCTAGTCCTTCATCAGTGGTCACAGTTTGCTGCCCACAGGATGCTGGATGGTTTTTTGTTGGTGGACTATTCTCAGTCCAGCAGTGATGCTGAAGTGTTTAAAATCTTCATATTTATGTAAGTATGTATTAAATACTCCCTACTTTTAATGATGTGTTAACTTAAACTAAAATATTAACAAAACATATTGCTAAATAAATGTGTTAATTTTGACCCTACCTTTAAGTAGCCCAGTTTATTCGCTGTTATTTCATCTGTTTACCACCTAAATAGCTACTGGCCCACCAGTGGTCCCAAAGTTTTATTGCACACTTCTTTAACCTAAGAATAACTCAACCAATTTGCATTGAAATCCCTGTATTACTGAATAATAAGTCTTAGTATGTAATATGCTGGAGGTTTAGGGGGTTAAATATAAGGTGTTTGCAATGCATTATGTCACATAGATCATAACTAAAGAAACAAATTTAAACATTCATTTGGGCCAGTCTTTTCTGAGTCTTGACTCGGCCTCAGATCTCGGTTTTGCCTCTAATGGTCTTGACTGCAACACTGCCTACGTTGACTTTTAAAATAAATAAAGCACTAACAACTCTTACACTAACATTCTCAGAGCTTTTTATATGCACAGTTCAAAGCTTTTCAAGAACTTTTTATGTAAACACTTTGAGATGGGAAGTAGGAGGTTCAGAGTGCCCAGAAAGAAAAATTGAAATCTTATATTTCAATCTTATATAATATTTTTCTCAAATCTGTGTGTGCCACAATTATTGGCATCCCTTCATTTAATATTTTGCGCAGACTCTACCTAAAAGGGTTCATCTGTTGTGTTAGATGTTGTTGTTGAACCTGTTTTGCTACCTGTAAGAATTATGTAAGAGTTTCCACCTTTTTGTGAACATTTATGAGATTAAAGGCCTCATTTGTTGAATTAACTAAACTCATGTTTGTCTATCTTTAACCAAATGCTAGGCCTCTAACATCTGTTCCTGCAGGCTGCAAGTTGCCTCTTTTGCAAATGAGACCTTTTAGAAACACTGGTCTTGGTTGTTGTCTTCATTTATTTGTTGCTGTTAGTTGTGTGGGTGCAGTGGAAGAAGATTTGAATATACAAATGCAATCCCTGTTTCAGCTGTCAGTGACTGATACGATATGCTGGTAGACTAATCCTAAACAATACCTGCAGCCTAATTTGCAAGCCATTGTTTACAAACCTCAGTGAATGGACCTCTATGCTGTTGTGTTTGGGGTTTATCTTTTAGATGAGACTTTGACTGCATGAGGAACTATTCAAATAAATGTTATCACTACTTTACCAAGGACAGAAAACTGAGCAGATGGTGTAATCAGGTCCAGTGACAGGGTCAGTAAGACAAACTAGCAAAATAAATTTCTGAAGGGCACAACTATCTTCACCCAGTGAATAAAAATTCGTCTAGGTTTGATGTTAGTTGCCATGCGATAATGTAAGAGGTGCATTTTGTGTACTTTGCACTGAAGATTTGAATATACAAATACGATCCTTATTTAAACTGTCAATTACTGATGTAGAGTACTGTTATTCTTATCCTAACATTGTAGCCTGAAGCATTCTACTTTGCAAGCCAATTTGTACATACTTTGTTGAAAGTGTCTCTATGTTGTTGTGTTTGAGACTTCCCATACCCCTGCAGATATTTGACCACTTGCTGTGTCCCCCAGATGCACATATTGCCATGATGCATGAGTTAGCCTTTAGCCTTAAAAAATCAGTGCCCCATAAATTATCAAACATGAAGTGACACTAGATAAACTGAATAAATCATGTTATTCAAAAAGTGCTCGGTGCTCTATATGAAGGCACATGTGCATGTGTAAGACAGTATGCAGCTGTAAAATGTGTGATGACTAACAGCATTCACTAACAGATCACATTCAGCACAGCAACACCACCCGTTTAATAAGCTGACATAACCCTAAATAATCACAGCAGCCTGTACAACCTTTAGTGTGTCAAAATGTAAACATTCACAGCTGTTTAGGTTATGCACTTTTCAGACGCTCCCTCAAACAGTAGCGCGTCTGTGTTTTGTTGTTCTGAGCTTTTAAGTTCATCAAAATTTACTGAAGGATACTTTTGAAAAATGTAGGTATGGTCATTTTTGCACATTTTCTTTCATGAGAAATCTGAATATCCAGTGAACGGCCAATATAGACCCAACTTTACCGTAATTGTTTAATTTTACCAGTCCTACTATTCATCCAGTTCTAACACACAACCAAAATGCTGATTGATTGATTGAATTTATTTGATGATTACAAACACACATAATGCTGCATCATCGAGGATTAAAACACAATAAAGCCCTAAAGCTTATTTCCTTTGTGGTCTTACACATAAAACACACAACTAAATTGCTAACAGCTAAGCGCTAATCACAGCAGCTTCAAGCTAATATCTCACTACAACCACAGACTGAATCACACCTGTGAAAGTATATATATATGTGTGTGTGTGTGTATATATATATATATATATATATATATATATATATATATATAGCCACAGGGCATCACTGTTCAGTGACCTTGAAGTTGCAGGCTAGCTTCTTCGAGTGTGAGAAGACTTTGTTGACCATATGAGTTTCTTTCCGTGTCATTAATTATATATGTTATGCATATTTGTTACTCTTGTTTATTCATATCACAATTACTTGTAACCAATGAATTGTAACTTCTCTGTTCTCTGTTAACCAGTGAAATGTAACACCACCAGCTTGGGGAGTATAAAACCTTTGTAACTGACTTTCGGAGAACTCTGGGTATGTGCCAGGAGCTTCTCTCCGGTCAAGAGTTTTCAATAAATATATCACTTCGGAGCATTAATTGTGACTCTTACTGTTTTTTTTTCTTACTTTTTTTTTTTTTACTAAGAAATTTCTTCCACACATGTCACAGTTTGGGAACCATTGTTCTAGATCAAACAAGTTTTTTTTTTTCAATATTTTGCACAATAGTTTCATAGAAATAGGAATGAAAAGCTTGTGGGAACAAAATGTTCAAGGAGCAGTGGCTGGGGACCTCAGACTCACATGTCTACCACTGTTCTGAGGATTTTGTTTCAGCAAGTCAGTTAGTTTGTCACTTCACTGCATCATAGTTTATTGTATAAAACTGAGAATTTCAAGTCGCTCTGCCACTTGTCACTAAATCATGAGTACATATCACATCCTCCCATAGGAAATGACCGGATGCCTGTCGCTTTGTCACCTGCTAGTGTGAAGTAGACAGAATGAACTGACTAACTTGCACCTTCTGCACTTTGGCCCTGTGGTTTCTCACTCTGATATCTACACAAATAGCGTACTTTCATTTCTTTATTTCTTTGTGTCTTGTTGAAGTAACTTTCTGGTCTCCCCTACTCCCCCTTACACTTTTAGACGGTTTTCTCCGTCTCTCTCTCTAGCTAGCCTTCATGGTTTAGCTTTCCCAGTTGCAATGTTCTGAGGCGGTGAATGCAGTGAGCCACTAAGGTATCTACATATGTGCACTCCGGTATTCGCCTGGCACATTCTGTTTTTTTTCCCTTATTTTTGATATTTCCACAATGTTAGAAATGACCACACATTTGTCTCTTTAACACTCTGCAGAAGTAAGCTTATTAGAGCAACCTTGCTCCAGTCCTAGGAAAGTGTGTTTTATTAGGTTTACTAGGCATAAACTGATGCATAATAGTGATAACATGGCACTGTCATATGGCATTCTGTCCCCTCTGCTGTCCACAGCAATCTTTTTTCACAAAACGTAGAAAGTGAAGTGATGTGAAGCATCTGAATTAACCAATCACACAGCCCCACACATGCCACCAGAAGCGGATAGCTTCCACACGCATAGCGGACCACACCAGAGTTAGCTGGAAGCAAACCAGACCACCTATTTCAGGAGGACCAGAGATTGGTCCTCTGGACTACTCCCAGGGTTGAAAACAGGTTGCACACTTGACCAAACATACCAAACTCGCAGAGCAAGCGGTTTGGAAAAACTGTAATTTGAAAACACCCCTAGTGCGCTGTATACATTTCAAGTATACTATTGATGTATTTATCAGCATCACAAGGGGTGACTTCTGATGATGGACTGAGCTTTGATTTGTATCTTAAGCTTGGTAGCTGGAAACTGGGATTGCCTGCGTCTTGTACACATATGAGTACATTAAACACACTTGTCGTTCTTCATCATCCTCTTCTTGTACAAATGGAAAACCTTTCCATTTTTCTCTCGCCAGCTCAGGGTGGCGTCATTACCCGCTTCTTGTGTTCTCAATTTTTTCTCCATCTGTAAAAGAACATAAAACATTATCACCAGTGGCACCAAACGCAGTTTCATCAGTTTTTCCTCTGTTTACTGCAGGATTTGTGATGCTTCAGATCTTCACATTATCAGAGTAACTACCTTAACTACCATTTTAATAGAAACATTTGATGGACTGATCTCAACTGATCTCAATAACTTTCTCGTTTGATGCTACAATCATAAACCTCATGCATCCCTTTGTACAGTACTGTAAAGGTCACAGAGCGTCCTTCAGTTATTCATTTTTTTACAAGATATTTTTGAGGAAATCAGCTATAAGATATAATCCATTTGAAAACTAAGCGGCAAGTCAGGGAAATATGTGAGTTAGAAAAATTATGAAAAAAGATACAGAGAAATTGGGGCTCCTAATGAGCATGCAAGACCTGGTAGACCACCAAAACTGTCTCCATCAGATAAACAGCTCCTAAAACTAAAACAGCTCCTAAAACTAAAATCTTTGAGAAAGAGGAGAAAATCAAGCTCGAGATCTGAAAAAATCCACAGCTGTTTCTGTCCATCCTTTCACTGTGAGATGACAACTCAGTGCTGTGGGTCTGAAGGATGTATAGCTACCAAGAAGCTCTTACTGAGAAAAGGAAACAGACAAAAATTCTCAAATGAAAAAGGCTGCTGATGTTCCAGTCCAGATCTCAACATCACTGAATGCTTTCGTGTTGACGTGGATCATGAGAAGAAGAAAATGCAACAGACTTCTAATACTAAACTTTGGAGATGTGGAAATATATCCCTGCAGATCTTTTTGAAAAACTGAAAGTAAGTCTTCAGATAAGGATGAAAGCTGTATTTTTTACCTGACACTGAAAAATAAATAACGTCTAAAGGCTGTAAGGAAGGCTGTAACTGAATTGAAATAAATAATAATAAAATAAATAAATGAAGCGTGGACATTTGCACAGGACTGTAGTTGTTTAAGCCAGTTTTTCCATGGAGAAAAAATACATGCATTTTCAAAAATCACCCCATTGACCTCTGCTGTACACAAAAATGTTCCAAGGCTTATTAAATTTGCATTCCCTCTGAGTGTCATTGATAGTAGGCGCCAGTGCAGTTTTTCTTGCTGCGTCCTGCAAAGACCTACTGTCGCCTGACTGGCTAACCACAATACAATGAGTTCATTTATTTGCATAAAGTTGAAATATCCAGCACTTTTTCGCCACACAGCAAGACAGGCTTTATCACACTGCATAATGCAGCAGAGCTCTCCATAAAAATGTATAGGGTGCAAAGAGGCAAAGTTGCACTGTGAGTCCCTGAATTATGAGGTCATTAAATAGCTGAAATACCAGTATTGCTACATACATGCTACAAGCAGGTTAACACTGCTGTCCACTCCTGAAAGAAGGCAACGATGCTTCAGCACTGTTATATAACTTACATCATTTCCACACTTTACACAGTTGGCTGTTTTTCCTGGGGTATTTTGGTCACATTGTCAAAATTTTGAAACAATTATAAATTGTGTCCAGCTGGCAAGGCAGAGGGATGCATTGTTGAGCTACAGAATATTGCACACCATTATAAATAGCACAATAAAGGCTGGTTTTAGGACAGAATGCCCCTTTAAATGCACCGTGGCTCCTGGTCTACCATGATACTGGATAAAATCAATGCCTCATCTGAACTGTCAAATGTGCTGTGCTTTGTATCTGCACTGCAACACCAAATGTGACTTTTGCAGAAAAATCCATTAGAAAAAAAAATTGAAGGTAATGCTAATTCAACCAGTATCTAAGCACAAAGCTTAAAACATACAGTATAAACACATGAAAGAGAGACTGCTGATACACAATCAGTCAGAAGACTGTTACCTGTAATGTTAGCTCTATGGCTAACTGCAGCTGTATCTAAGTCAACACACTGCCCCCAACTTCGCCAGTTATCTACATTATTTAGCTTCAGGTCAGTGTGCAGCACTAAGCTGTGGCCAAATAGTGATGTAATTATGTTAACCTTTGGGTTTTTACTGTTTATGGTAGGCAAGTTGGCCAACGGACATGGAGAATATTCTCCATTCTGATAATCTTTCTGTTGCTAATCTAACGTCAACTGCAAAAGTCTAGTGTAAATGCAACTATCAAACTGTTGCCCTTCATTCTTTGGTTAACTATGGGTGAAATTTTCAAAGATTAAAAAAAAAAATCCCAAAGAGAATCAATCGTCTTCATCTGGATGCTACTGGTAAACTGCAAAAATACAAATGCATCCTTAGAAAGCAACGTGCAGATAAAGATAAGAGAGCTATAAGTGAATGTCATTACAGATTTCACTGACCTGACTCAGTATGGCTGTCTTCACAGCAGGGTCATTCAGATCCTTTATTCCATTCGAGGTTATTGTCAGTTTCACTATGCGTTGTCTCGGTGCTGGAGAAACAGAAATGCCATAACTAATGTTCACTGATAAAAACACGAAAAGCAAACAAAATTTAAACTTTTATGATGATAATATGTATGTATGTAATGTTGAGCTCCATATTAAAGCCATTATTTAAATGCTATTTTTAGGCTGGAATACCCCTTTAAATGCACTGTGGCAGATGGTCTACCATGATACTGAATACAGCCAGTGCTAACAGTAAACTATCATATATGTTGTGCTTTTTTATTTGCATTGCAACACTAAATGTGACTTTTGCTGTAAAATCAATTGACCAATTGGGGAAAATTAAGTTTCTAACATTGATGTCAGTAATAAGTTTTCAAGTAATTCAGTTCACTTCTTTTAGTGAGTTACATCTATGACTGAACTCCAGTCACTGTCACCATGGAAGAATATGTGTCAAACGGACCTTTGTAACACATGAAACGTGTCTTTACGTCACACAGTGCGTCATCCCATTGTCTATTCCAAGTAGTCACCATTGAGACGCAGCTTGCATTGCCTGTGGGGCTCCAGGGTTGTCCTTCGTTCCAGTAGCGGAATGAGGTGCTTCGTCGGTCAGACCATTTCCAGTTGTCGAAGAAAAGGCCTATCCATGCGTATTCTACACTGCCCAGAAGATCTGAAACGTGCTGATGTTCCTCCTCATTGTGAATGGTGGCCAGGTCAGTGTAGTTCTTTCGGCAATAATCCTGAGCATTTCTCCAACTGGCTCGTTTGCTAACATGGATAAATTGTTTAGTCGGTTCTACACACACACATATACACACACATAACACACACACACACACAGAAAGAAGCATAATTATTCACACATCTTTAAAACTTGCTTATTTTACAGGCCATGTTTAAATGATGATATCCTTTAAAACAATCTCAATGGCACATTGTCCACCCACCAAGACCAACCCTATCCAACTATAATCTGTCCTATTTAGCAGGAAACTACCCAGTCTGGCAACACCGCATATCCTGCAGAAGAAGATACGTAGTCTTACAGGGTCAGATGTGATCTTGTATCAAAAATACTCAAGACTCTAGAAGATATAAAGCCATAATTAAATACTGGACACAAAAAGTATTGTCTGTTTATGACAGACGATGAGTAAGCTAGTATCTTCTGGTTACATCTGTGAAACATATGCAGGATGTTGGGTGGAAAAACATTAGTTATAGCTTCACTGATTGTTTAGAAAACAAACAAAACTGGTCATCTTTGCATTGCAGACATTGTGAACCCTCATTCATATTAACATTATAAACACTAAAATTACAGAGAAACCGAAGCTGCTTCAAAACACTCCTTATGATTTTGCTTTAACACTCAACAAGTTATGCTGAAGTTATGAAAAATCGGAATTCCTCTAAACAGAGGTAAAAAACTGGCCGAGTTTCAGGTTGTAGGTATTGAGTAGAGAACATGCTGTAAAATGAAATTCATCATTTTACTATTGGCATTTTTATTTTCTTCATATTTTCATTATTGGTATTTAAATGTTGTTACTCACCGCTGTAGCAAACAAATTCCCAAAGATTTGTGCAATTAGCATCAATCCATCCACTAGACTGATATTTTGCTGCACAAAGTCCATCTCTGTCTCCACCGTCTGGTTCCAGACTTCTCCAATTCATGTATTGTGGGATCTCTCCTGAAGACCAGCCCCAGCGTCTTGGGGGGGCCTTGTTCAGTCCTATCCACAGAGCACCACTGTACTTAGGATCTACTGCTGCCATCAGCTGCTTCATCTCCTCCATGTTGTCTACAGTAGCCAGGTCAGTGTACTTCTCTCTGCAGTACCTCTGAGCCTCCAACCAAGTCTTACCCTCATTCACAAAGTAATATTGCCGAGAGAGAGCTGAGGCTGCACTACAGAGACCTGAGAGACATCAGCACAGCCATATGAGTCATTTGTGAAAGACATTTAATAAAGCATGCTGGATAGGAAATGTTGGGATTGTCTTTTTTCCCTCCAAAGGTTGTATTGCTGATAAAACAAAGGCAAAGTTTGAGTGACAGTGCAGTGAAAAAGCTTTTACCCCCGAATGATTCTTCTGCTTTTGTGAATCACACTTGTTTCAGATCTTCAAACAAAATTTCATACAAGACAAAGACAATCTGAGTAAACACAAAACATGACGATCATTTCAATAAACACTTAGACAGTTAGCTAACCCCAGCTGGCCCTGTGTGAAAAAATAAATGCACCCTTAGTTACTCAGTCAACCAATGAACTAAATTGTGTTGATAATTAGGATTGAGTACTGGACACACCCAGGCTTGATTACTGTCAGCCCTGCTGAATTTTCACTCAGAGTACAGTTACTCGGATCTTAGGAGCTTAGGGGATCTTAAATGACATTTAATTAGCTTTTTGCTTGTTTACTGCTTTTGTTATGTCTCATAACATGATGCTCAATGCACTCTACTACACCCACTAGCATCTAATATTAATTGTTTACATTAGACTAAATATTAATAATTTAAAATAAAAATTTCCAAATATGTCATGATGCAGGTTATGAATGATCCATTTTGCAAAGCACAGTTTATTTATATAGCGCTTTTTGCAACAGGTGTTGTAACAAAGAAGCTTGACAGAAAATCCAGGTCCGAGCCCCCATGAGCGTCGCCAGTGGTGACAATGGCACGGAAAAACTCCCTAAGAGCAGGAGGAAGAAACCTTGAGAGGAACCAAGACTCAAAAGGGTAACCCGTCCTCCTCTGGTCGACACCAGATAGCAAACAGCGTTAGTATAAAGTATTATAGTACAAAACGGGGAAAACAGGCGTGGCAATGTTTAATTAGATTAGTTTTAGTTTATGCAGCAGCAGCAGCAGCAGTAGCTTCTTCAGGAGGGTCAGTTCATGAGGCTGAGGTTTGCACAGCGTTGTACAGCATGAATGGTGTAATGGTGATCAAGCCGATCCAGAAAGCTGGTGAGCAGTGGGCACCCGATCAAGGCAGAAGAAGCAACAGCATCAGACGCACAGGATGGGCAGCTGTTCCACTCGGCAAAGAAAGGAGAACACACAGAGTTAGTTCTGTAAAGAGTGACTGATCACAGATTACAGGGTTAACAGAGCAGCAGAGACTCCGACAGGTCTAGTTATTGTAGCCCTTTACTAAAAGGGAGAAACCAGAAGGTAACAGAGACATGAGGCTCCCTGAGATGTCGGCGCCCCTCTGCTCCACCGTCAGCAAACTTGAGTGAACGCGTGAGAGCAGCAGGATGACAGCACCAACACTCCCAGTTTACCATAATACTCTATGACCAAGAACCCCCACATCTGCACCTTTTATCTGACAGGAAAACTAATTACCAAAGGCTCGACTAAACAAGTAAGTTTTTAGCCTAGACTTAAAGACTGAGGCTGTGTCTGAGTCCCGAACACTGACTGGAAGCGAGTCTGTTTGGAGCTTTATAGGTCAGTAAGAGAATTTTGTAATCGATGCGAAATTTAACTGGCAACCAGCGTAGGGTTGATAAAACTGGGCTGATATGGTCAAACTTCCTGGTTCTTGTAAGAACTCTGGCTGCAGCGTTCTGGACTAGCTGAAGCTTGTTAAGGCTTTGCTGGGACATCCAGCCAGCAGGGCATTACAGTAATCTAGCCTTGAAGTAATAAATGCATGAACTAGCTTTTCTGCATCCTGTAGAGAGAATGCATTTCTTAATTTAGCAATATTGCGGAGATGCAGGAAGTCTGTTCTAGTAATATTAGTTATATGTGCGTCGAAGGACAGATCAGGATCTATCGTGACACCAAGATTTTTTACAGATGAACCTGACGCAACTGAGAAATGGTTATGTTTAAGTGTTAAATTAGACAGTTTGTTTCTTGCAGCTTTTGGACCAAGAAGCAGAACCTCTGTTTTGTCCGAGTTAAGTAGGAGAAAGTTACTTGACATCCAGTCTTTTATGTCTTTTATACAGTCCTCAATCTTGTTAAGTTTAATTTTATCATCCGGTTTGCTTGATATATATAACTGAGTGTCATCGCCATAGCAGTGGAAATTGATGCTTTGTTTACTGATAATGGTGCCCAGTGGTAGCATATATGTTGTGAATAATATAGGTCCTAAAACAGAGCCTTGTGGAACACCATACTTTACTTTTGCAAGGACAGATGATTCACCGTTTACATTAACGGACTGATATCGATCAGTGAGGTAAGATCTGAACCATACATACATACATACATCATCTAAACCACTTATCCTTCTGGGTCACGGTGGGGTGCTGGAGCCCATCCCAGCTGTCATCGGGCGGAAGGCAGGATACACCCTGGACAGGTCGCCAGTCCATCGCAGGGCAGACAGACAGACATACACACTCACACCTAGGGGCAATTCAGCATGTCCAATCAGCCTGACAGCATGTTTTTGGACTGTGGGAGGAAACCGGAGTACCCGGAGGAAACCCATGCGGACACGGGGAGAACATGCAAACTACGTTGATACGTTTTTGGGTGTTGAGGGACAGGGCTGGTTTCCTGATAGAGATGTGTGGATGGGAAGACAGGACTGGTTCTTTAGTAGGGCTCTGGGCATTAATACGGAGACAGGTCTTCTGAGCCTGAAGCCGCTTCTGTTGGACCTTGCATCAGGGCAGGGACAACTGATATGAATAGGTTGCTAAATGTTTGCCTGCACTAAATGTTGGCTAAAAGAGGATTGAAATGTAAACATTCAATTGTCTATGAAGATATCAAGAAAATAATGTTAGTGGATCAAAAATAGCCTATTTCACTGTGGACTAAGCTAACAGGTTCATTTCAACCACTCACGGACTATATCCGCTTTTCTTTGTGAAAATTTGGATGACATACTTTCGCCTTTTCTTTTCTCTCTCCTGGTTTTCTATCTTTCTTTCCATTTTTGGAAGCCAGAATTTTATTTAGGAAGCTGAGACATGATGCTCCACCAGCACTCCTCACATGCAATTCACTGCTAGCGAGTACGGTTAAACAGACCGGACCATTTCATGTAAATAGAGAATGGGGTGGGGGTTGGGCAGTACAGAAGCTCTCTGGATATTTTTTCCAAAAGCAAGAAAGGAAAAAGAAACTGTTAGTTTTGTATGTACCTTATGAATAATATAGATTAATAATCATAGAAATAAATATTTAAATAGTTAAATATTAAAAAAAGCAATGAAAATCATTCAATATATTTGTCAGTAATGCGTGTATTTTCATAGAAGAAATCTGCCTTTAAACTGATTACCTTTGCTGTGTAACATTACTATTTACATTTTAAAAATGTAAATAATGTAAATAATGTAAATAAAAAAAATTACGACTATTCTTTATATTTGTTTTCCTCATTTTTCATTATTCAGAATTTGCTATATTAAACTTATATCAACACATATTGTGCAGGACACATTTGTGTATTTATTAGCCTAACAGAGTTGATGAATAATGGACAACACATTTTATTTAAAGTGAAACCTTTTGGGGCCCCCATAGAAAAATGACCTTAAATGAAAAAATGGAAATATATGTCATCAATCTTTCTTTCCAAGCTATTGCTTTATCTCAACCAGTCGGGTGCTCTAAAGTCAGCTAATAAAGTATATTACAAAGTTATTGTAGCTACAAGTCATAGGTGTAAAACTGCATAAGAGGTTTGACTGTCCCACCTGTCAGAAGTTTCACCACTGATATGACATTAGAATAAATATAAAGAAATATTAAAATGAAAAATTAATTTTCTGTTCTAACTTAAGAGATGCGTAAGAACACTTTTCTGCATTTGCTGAATTCCAACCACCAACACGTATTGAAGTTTAATTTAATGAAGTATCAGTCAGTTAGGTATGGCTTGATTGTAACTGTAAATACTAGCCTGCCTGGAAGAGAGGTCTGTACATGTACCTACTGCTTACACTAAAGATTGCTGAATTTATGCTTGTTTGTATTTATCTTAGTAATGTTTTTCTAAGCGAATAAACTTTAAATATGATCTAGTTAAGTGGTCTCAGACTTTTGCACACTTCTGTGTTTGTTCAGAAATCTATAGTTCACACATACCTGAGATCAGCAGTGCTAGAAATAAACTCTTGTCCATGTCTGAAGTCCTGGTGACTCTTCTGTCTCCTAGTGCTTTGTCTGTCCAGCAGTGCTTCAGTGAACCTACAGGCTCATTTGTCACTCTTATCTAATTTGAACAGGAATCTGATTTGAATAGTCTTCGAGGCCGTCCTTCATAGCTTCATAGCTGATTTGTATATTTTTGAAAGTAAAATGAGGTGAGTTATAATGTAGGTGAGTTTCAGTATTAGAGTTATTTCCATAAGAAACCTACTTTTCGGCACCGCTGTAGCAAACCTGGCTAGTGTGAGAGGAGTGAGGACACTGGAAACAGAAGTGGGATTATAACAAACAGAACAAACATGCAGGCTAAGCTTTTCAGCTATTCTATTAAATACGGACCCCTTCAGCTCTGACTTTTCAGTCTTTTGGTTTCCCTGGATTCTAAGCTCACTCTGCATCTGCCCATCTCTCTCTTGTCTCCTACTTGCCTACTGAAAGGAGACATGAACATAAATAGGCTGCCATAAACAACACACAGGCAGAAACCATAATCTACTCAGCATGCTGGTCTATAAAACCATCGGTCAGTAAAGGTGACATACGCTTTATAAGAAGAAAATAGAACCTTTCTGATTTCATTTACCCCTTTTTTTATTAGTGGCATACATCTACATTAGGGGGGTAACAAGTCTCCCCACCCTTAATCCGAGACAAATCACTAGGTGAGTCCAGCAAGACCTTATATAATACCGCAACATCTTTATAGGGCAAATCTTCTTATGATATAATGGTAGAAAATATAAAAAAGGCATAAGCTTTAAAACACAACCTTGCAACACCCAATGAGCGTTTTTAATCTGAATTCTACACGTCAGATGAAAAGAACCGACCTGGCACCAACACACTTGATTACTTACAGTTTTTTTTTTACACACATTTCAGCACAAAATGTCTCTGCTCTCAAATGTTCACACACATTCTCAAAACACTACACACATTTAGTAAATTATCCAAAACTAAGAGCTAAATGAACGTCTGGCTACAAAACCATGAACATTCTCCTAAAAATGAAACATTCACATCACAATTCTAAACAGATTAATGATATAAATTTGTAAGCAAATCAGGGTTTTCACACTGCAAAGAGAAATTGAGAGCACAGTTATCTCAGTGAGTGTGCTGCCATCTTTGGACTGTAGAAAATATAGACGTGCAGACTAGAGACACTGAAAAGATAATTCATATAAATTTACTGATTTAAATCCCACAGTCCAATTTGTCAGGCCAATTTGACACTGAAACTCCTGAAACTTTAGCTAGATGGACTTATGCTCGCCATCTTCTGTACAGAGTTAGCCAACATGAGACCACCTTGGCATCCACATACAGCTGGCCTGCCAGCGCAACTTGCCTGAAGCCCTGGAGTTGGAGCTGGAGAGAGAGAGATAGTTTGGTCAGCAGCTTCATGGAGCACAGATGTTACCAGTCCTGCAGTCTGAGCTGTGGAGGAGTCAAGTGTGTCACCAAAATCGGCGAGGGAAGGTGAGAGGACAGAACTGACACATGGGTTGGCCATACCAACAGCCATACAGCCAGTGGCACAGCGACGCCGGTGCTGGAGGGCCGGCAGGGGCATCTGGCTTGGCATGTCCTTTGGGGGGTAAAGTCAGTCGGAAAGAATTCTGCCCTAGGCAAAAAGAACAGGACAGGCAGCAAACAAACAGTAGCCATGGTGGGGATAAATGTCCATCAAACTTCTGCCACATCTCCATTTAGCAAGATGAGAGCCTCCCCAAAAAATCCTTACTTAGGGCCCCCAAAAGCTGGAGCTACCCTGTACGTATTTTTACTTACAATGAAAAGGTTTCTGTGTTAAACACTGATCTGTAAAGACATCCACAGCTGGAATTGTCCAGTTTTATGACTGTATCTCAGTGTAAACAAAAATGTTGTATGAAAAAAAGCTCTGTTCTTTAAGACGGGCTATCATCAGCAGTGGGCCAAAGCCATCTTTTACATCCAGTTAGAGGAGGGCCAGTTGTACTTTTGTGGACTCGCACAAGATGACTGTGAAATCACTGGGAATCTTCTGTGTAAATCAAGAGTGACTTCAATTTCTCACAGTGATGTGGTTCCATTCAAATTGGCTTAATTCACAGCTTTGCTGAGATTTGAAATTGTGGTATAAATGGTTCCAGGTTTCATAGGTTGTATCTGTGATTGAAAGGACAGAAAAAAGGACAACCAATCAACTTTCAATAAGTTTGCAGATCCATAATGAAATCAATGAATAATCCTACAATAAAGCACATGTGCGGGTTTTCTCACCCAAAGAAAGTATTACAAACCCTCATATGGATAACAAGACTGAAGCTTCTACACTCTAAAAGCTCTTTAATTGAATCAATGGGGTTTTAGTTTTCCTTACCTGATCTGGAACGGATTCATAGATGCTAGAAATGCAGGGCTCTGCTGAGATCGACCGCTGCTGAACATTTTTAAGAAAACATGACATATGATGATTAAAACATAGCATTTGTAGTAACTAAGTATGATTCGAAGCTACTAAATATTTAAGTTCCTTACTGAAAATTTGAAGGACTGGCTCAGATTAAATAATGTTACCTAAATAAGTATACTAAAGTAATACTAAAATGAAATCCTTAAATGTGATCACAGGCTACAGCAATAAATCACAATCAAACTGTAAAGAACTTTGACAGAGACAAGTTGGGAAATGTTCATCATATTGAGGCTTTCTGTTAGACCAGAACTGTACTTGCAAAAAAAAAAAAAGTTTTATACAGTTTTATGGATAATGTATATACAGTATTGTGCAAAAGTCAGAAATATTTATTTATTTAATTTCTTGTCAAAACAGTGTAAGTTATTAATTTGATAGCAGATTTTTCTGATGAGATTCGAGATAAGATAATCCACTTGCATAAGAAAGGGGGAAGTCAAAGGAAATAAGTGAAAAACAGTTTTTGTGCAATCCTTCATTAAATGTACATGTATCAGTGAAAGAAACTGCTGGTGCACATGGGTTATAGGCTTATATCCATCCTGCACCAAGCAGACAGCTTTTTCCACAGTGCAGCTCTAATCAGGCCTTTTAGAAAGTAAATAAAATTGGTCGCACGAATATTTTCATCTAGCTTTAACTGTATTGCTTGTTACAGCTCTAACTGCATTAAACAACGTGACCATTAGGAGAATTCTCAAAAGTTATGAACGATCAATAAAAAGTGAATTTTAATAGCAACTTCATGTATATGCTGGCCATTTTCACTGCAGTGGTCTGACTGGACCGTCCATTACTTGTAGGTTGTGGTTTCTTCTGTACAGCACAGTACACAGTAGAATCCAGCGCAGTAGGTGGTGTTGCTGCACAGTTCCTCTGTAAACATGATTATCATCATTATGAAATTATAATATCCTGTGTTTCATGTTACCTTCTGTAGAAGATTTGACACAAATTAACAATATAAACAATATAAATCCCTGAATCAAATAATTACAGTATTTATTCTCATTAATGTCTAAATGTCTACAGGAATAAGAATTACATAAATCTTACCTCAACTTCTGCATAGACTGTGTTCTCACACTGTGTGGGACCTACGCAGTTTTGAATGAAAAAAATGAAAAATTAACCCTTGATATCATTAGTGAAAAGGAACTGTAGACACAATCTTAATTTCCCAAACCAATTTTGTCTAACTGCTATACAGCCACAGTTGGTGTTACATGCTAAATTACCGTTGTGAGGCAGAAGCAGACATGTCACAAATAGTAAAAGAAGGAGTAAAGCAGGGCTTCAACACACCATTTCATACTGCTCTTCTTTTAAGATCCATATCAACCCAAATTCTGTGTCTGGTCTTTTATGATCAATTGCAACTTATTTGTTCTGCACTGAACACAAATAGAACCTTTTAATTCTAAGCCCACAAACTTCCCCTTATTGCTATCAGGTCACTGATCAGTGATTGTTTAATTCTAAGCAGTGAGGAGGCTACTCTCTGATTGTGCTCAGACTGTCTCCATTATGTAGGTCACAAAAAAGAGAGAGAAAGAAAGAAAGCAAGAAAGCAGCGTGAGAAAAAGAAGCTTGCATGTGAGAGAAAAAGGACCGGAAAATCTATTAGAAGCCAAAGAGAGGAGGTCAGTGTTGGTTTGGTTCGGTTTTGTTTGTGTTTTGTGTAAAATAAAGGTAAATGCTTGCTGACATTGCCACTCCTGCCTCCAGCATCCTTCATCCTCCTGGTGTAGCACAGGCCATGATACAAATCTTACAGATCCATTTTTTAACCTTAAAATTCTTTATAATACATAAATAATTTACCAACTGTAATTAAATATGGACATCTTATTATTGTGATAATTATATGAAGGTTCTCCTCATTGATTGGTTTGGCAAAATGCTAAGTAGTTTATAATTTCAGTGCAAATTAATGTAAAACGTTACACAAACATTATCACTGATAAATGGTTTTCAAAGGAAAGGTCCTGAGGCCGGGCTATCCACACTAAGAACAAGTGAAGCATCCACTGCGTCTCATAGAAAACAAAGCAGAAACTAAAATGGAGAAAATACAGCAGTGAGTAGTTAGTGCTGAGCTTCACATGCGCAGGAACTAAAAACAAGTAACTACCGCTCTGATCTGCACACTCTATCTTGATCTTGTCAAATGAAGCTTTGAAGCTGAACAATTCATGCAGTCCCTAAACATAATGGGTGTGTGTGTAAACCTATTGAAATGTGAACCAGAACTATGTTACTTTCTGCTCATCAGCCTGATATCCAGAATTTGTTAGCTGCCATACAACATCAGCTATCTCAGGGGCTCCCAAACTCAGGTCTGGTGCCACAGGGCCTCGCAAGCTTTATGTTGCCATTTCTCCTGCAATTCAGACTTTTTATATATTTTTGGGCAAGGTAGCCTGTTCAAACTGCATTCACATGAATGAGTTTTCTAGCTGAGCGAGCCGTCTCGACATTTCAGTTGATATTGCCTGATTTGATCAGAAATTTTCCAGCTTCATGCTTCCATCAGTTTGGTGGTATGATATCTGCCCAAAATACTGTGAGGCGTCCACATTTGTCCAGATAAGTCAATTTCAGTTTGCAGAAACTGTCTAGCGACTGTAAACTCAGCAATTTTCAAATTTTCAGCAATTTTCACATTTCAAAAATTGTGGTCACAGGACGCTGCCCACAGGACACTGTTGGCTGGATATTTCTGGATGGTAGACTACTCTCAGTCCAGCAGCGACACTGAGGTGTTTATAAACTCCAGCAGCACTGCTGTGTCTGATCCACTCAGACCAGCACAACACACACTAACACACCACCACCACATCAGTGTTACTGCAGTGCTGAGAATGATCCACCACCAAAATAGTACCTGCTCTGTGAGGGTCCATAGGGGTTCTGACCACTAAAGAACAGGGTAAAAGGGGGCTAACAAAGTATGCAGAGAAACAGATGGACTACAGTCTGTAATTGTAGAACTACAAAGTGCACCTATATAGTAAGTGGAGCTGATAAAATGGACAGTGAGCATAGAAACAAGGACAAACATGGTCATAATGTTATGCCTGATCGGTACACACACACACACAAAATATTTAGAGCAACAAGTTTTATGAAGAAGCCAAACAAAACCCCAGTAACACATCAAGTGATCAGGTAGCACGGCGTACTTTTAAATGACTGATTTCACTGGAACAGAAAATAAAACAGAAGATTACTGGGTCCCCGCTGCTGTAAGGTTAGGAGTTTTTCAAAGCTGATGTTTCTGTGTCCAGCTGTGTTAACTTGCCAGTTAACAGTAACAACTGTTTAAACAACTGCTTTGACCTGCAAATTGCATAATTCAAAAGCTGTTTTTCTGACAGAAAATTGTGAAGGTGATAATGATAAATGTATATGTTCACACTGAACATGCAAAAAAAGACATACCTGTTGATTTCCTCTGGTAAAGATATGAAAGGATTAAGATAACTAGAAGAATGATGACCCCTATGATACCCACAGCCAGCAATAGCAATTGTAAGAGTAGGTTATCTTCCTGTGTACTGTGTTCTCCTAATGAGGGGCAAAAAGATTGTTAATCTTAGAACAAATACAGAATGGGTTAAAAAATAAGATGTGCTTGTGTTTGAGCATGTATGTGTGCACACCTTTATCAGCACAGAGTTGTTTAAGTTCTCCCATCTCCAAAACAGCCTCCTTCCAGCTGACTGGGTTGCTATGGTTACAGATAATGCTGCTGCCATTGACAGACAGGGAAAGGGTGATGCCTCCAGGTGACATCACTTCCTTTTCCTCACAGGTTTCATTATAGCAGCTGGAGTTGAGACAGAGGTCATGACCTCTACAGGTGAGAGAGATGTTGCAGAGGTTGTTGCTGAGCTGGTGAAAGGCAGAAGCCAAAACTGGGGCCTCCGCTGGATCTGAGGTGCACACATAGATACAGATCACTGTACTGCTAGTAATGTTACACTAAACACCAGTCAACAATAAATCACTCACAGAGGTTATTAGCTTTGTCTGTTTTTCTGTCTCAGAACCGTATGAAGTCCTATGAACATAGTTTTAGAGGACTGGACTCAAATATGACTACGTAAGAATGAAATAATTAAAAAAATATTGATGATAATAATAAGTCTATAGCACTTTTCAATAACACAAAGATACTTACAAGCATTAAGATAAACAAAACATGCAATATAAAGAATATACACACACTAAATAGCCTAGAAGTTTCATTACATCCTTTTTACATAAAATGTAATTTATGCCTGTTTTTTTTATTGTGTCAGTTGTACATGATTGTTTTATATGAAGAAAGCTGAAGTTGTGCTGTCTGTTTTATCTCAGTATGGTCATATTTGTTGAGAAGTGTGAATTGTTTTCACAGCCGGGGGTCCCTCACTCGTCCCCTTTCACCCTTCATTGCTCACTAGCAGCTCTACATAACATTTCACACACACACAGATCCAACCTAGTTATTATGGGGACAAAATATTCTTGTATATATTTTATAATTAAAAATATCCTGCAGAAAAATGTTAATAAGAATATATTGCAAATGCCCATTAATGCTATGTTGTTGCTTATGCACAAATGTTTTATTTTCTAAAAAGTTTTATTTATTTACACTAACATTTATGAACAGTGCTGGGGTCATTCAGTACAAAGTTAGACAGTGATTACATTCTCCCTATAACGAAGTATAAGCAACTATATATAACTAGCCATGATTTTTCAGACTAAAGTCAGACATAGTTGCATCTTTTAAATGATTTTTTTCCATGTCATTTTCATTCATTTTACTGGCTGTGTCATCCTAAATGAAGTACTGAAAGGGCTGCTGCATTTCCTCTTGAACTTTCCAGATGTCCTCTCTTGTTAACAAGACCTTAGAACTCAGCAGACTTACAATAACCTATACTGTGTGTACGTGGTTAAATAAAAGAATAAAAAAGAGAATAAAAACACATCATCTGACTGACAGCAGCAGGTTTTAGCCAGGAATGCATTTTTTCTGGCCTTAAATCTCACCCTGTAAGACTTACCTAACACAGAGAGTCTGTACTTAACAACAACTGTATTCTGTATTCCAGCTGCTTTTGCTTCATACAGTCCACTATCAGTCCTCTGTAAGTTCTTCAGTGTCAGACTGTAGGTTTCAGTATTGAACTCCACTCTGCCTCCATAAGCAGAATGCTGTTTACATTTTTTAGTTTCATTATAATATTTTAAAACATTTTTAGCTCCGTTAAAGACCCAGGATAAGTCATCAAACACTGGTACAGGACGTTGTGTGTCTAGTTGAACAGAATGGCCAACCAATCCAAACACATCACTGGACTCTGTAGGAAAAGAACAAAGACAAATCATTTGGTTGTTTTAGTTAAGCGGTTTTGTTAAGTCTGTTTTGTTGTTTAGGTTGCTTCTGTATTTTATGACCGTTTGCATTTGCTTGTATTTTTTTGTGCACTGCTTGGAAAGTTATACAATTTTTAGAGCAATTGTACTTTGGTTATTAATATTGAGGTTAGACAAATTCTAGCATCATTGTCATATGCCCAAAGACAAAAATTCATCCACTATTTTTTCCAGCCTCTCTCTCTCATATCAGACTAGAAAGTCAATCAATCAACCTTTATTTAACCTCAGAGAACATTGAGGGTGAATAATGTTGCCAAGTTGATACAGGAAAGGGATTGATAATGTGTAAGAACATATCAAATAATAAAAGTAAATTTAATTTGAAAATTACTTAAATCAAGTATGTATAAAAAAAGAAACATTAATAATAAAAATACAGTAGGAAATAAACTATAATTAAAATGTAGATAAAACTGTAAAGGATAATAAAATCAAATCTAATCCAAATAAAATGAAAGGAGAATAAGATCTAAAAGTAAACAAAAAATGTATTAAAATGACAATTAATAATACGGTGGCACGTGGCACGGTGGCGCAGTGGGTAGCGCTGTTGCCTCACAGCGAGAATGGCCTGGGTTCGATTCCCAGTCAGGCGACCAGAGTCGTTTCTGTGTGGAGTTTGTATGTTCTCCCTGTGTCTGCGTGGGTTTCCTCCGGGTACTCCGGTTTCCTCCCACAGTCCAAAAGACATGCAGTCAGGCCAATTGGACATGGTAAATTGCCCCTAGGTGTGAGTGTGTGAGTGAATGTGTATGTCTGTCTGTCTGTCTGCCCTGCGATAGACTGGCGACCTGTCCAGGGTGTATCCTGCCTTCCGCCCAATGACAGCTGGGATAGGCTCCAGCACCCCACCGCGACCCAGAAGGATAAGCGGTTTAGATGATGTATGTATGTATGTATGTATGTATGTATGTATGACAAATAATAAAAATAATCAGAATTAAAATAAGAATATGAATAATAAATAAACAAACAAATAAATAATAAAATGACCGCGACCCGGAAGGATAAGCGGTTTAGATGATGGATGGATGGATAAATAATAAAATAATAGAAATAAGACAATAATAGTAAAAAATCAGGTAAAACAGTTAAGCAAGTCAGTGCTGATGAAAATAAAAACTTGAGAAGGTATGACATGTAGAGACAAAACTTATTTTACAGGTGGTGAAAATGCTTCCACACATACTTATATGCTCTTTGTCTGTCCCACACCCCCATTAAGAGAGACAGAATTGTACTTGGTGGGGGTGCTGCGATATTTCCTTGAATAAAATGTAAATTTTATGGTCTCACATGATGTGACCGCAACTTCATTTGTCAAACTAGTTTTTAGCACATACAACATTGGATTACTCCCTCTGGATAAGCTCTAAACTCACTTAGTTGAATTCCTAACGTTACTATACAATCTAGTTGTGTCACCCACAGTTTTCTTCTGTGAGCTACATTTTTGTAGGAGCACTTACTGAAAAATGTTCACCTAACAAATAAAGTTCTGTGTATGTTCATGACATGTTGTCAGAAGTGTGAGAACAGACCAGTGAATCGTACCCATTACTGGTGCATTATTTTCTCAGCCGTCTTCATGGCCACTGGGGAGAGAAAGTAGATTTGAAGCTCAAAAAGAGGTGAATTCATTACTTTACACATTGGGTGCAGAAGCAGAGCCCGTCGTTTGTGAGGAGCGTTTGAGTTGGCCGAACATTATGAATTTGGTACAGCTAAAGATGAACAAGGAACAAGATGGTAGTCTGTTTGACCGACAGTGATGTGTCGGGAAAAAGTCATAACAATCTCAAAAGTCTGAGCAAATCAGAAAGCAGCCGGCTAACTTGAGGGCAGGGAAGTGCATTGATGAGGTCACAAGCAAAACAGTGTAGCTTTAAGGCACAAGCCTTAACAAAGACACCAGCCATACCAAACATTTTAAAGACAGAATGGATCATCAGTCAAGAGAGATCTGCAAAACACGTGGCCAGACACATGGTCGTCGGGAACAGTGTCCAGCTAGAAATAAAAGGTGCCAGAAATGCAACAAAATGGGGCAGTTTGAGTGTGTAAAATAAAAATGGCAAAAGAATTAACTATGAAAAAGGAAGACAAATAAAATTTCTTCCTAGGATCCGTGAGGAAAAAAACAATGCTGATGACATGAGTAACATTTCAGTGAACGACACAAGATCTGGCACATCTGGCTACTTGTACAGGTTTGAGCTGTTCTGGGGACCAGTGGCTGAAAAGGTGATATAGGTGACCTGGGAATGGCTGCTGACGTTAAGGTTGTCTCTGGGATTGTCATCAAAGACAACAGCCACGTTTTCTTCTGTAGAACACCCCTTCTTGAAACACTACATGGTCAGGAAATTGAGGCTACAGGCACTTGCAGAGTCAACCGCCTAAAAGAAACTACAGGCAACCTCAAGACCCTCAGTGAGCTAAAGGAACAGGGAAGAGCAGCATCCTCTGTCAACCAGTGAGAATGTAACTGTGACAAAATGGGTTATAGGTCTATCATTTATGTGGTCTTGACATGTGATGGTAAACATCCTCAGGATGTGACACAAAGCTGGAGTAAAAAAGACTGTGCTGTGATCCAAATACGTCACCTATTTGCAGTTGGTTTCTACTAATAGTCATATTTGGGAGTGGATCTGGTGAATCAGTATATTGCAGTGTATCAACAGAAGAAAGAACAAAAGGTGATATGCACATTTTCTACCACTTCCTGGATGTGGTACGTGTGAACGCAGGGTAACTTCACCAGACGAAAAACACGCAAGCTTAAGACCTGTTGTCTTTTAAAGCATCTATTGCTCAGGCACTGATCAACAGTGGGGTCATGCAAAAGCGCTCTCGGGGGCAGCCAAGTCTCATTCCTGCTTCCAAGAGAAGGAACCAGGTCAACACAACCTCTAAGCCTCCACAACACTGGAAAACACTTTTCAATAAAAAAGTTACAAAGCAGTTTTGTAAACATGAAAAAGAAGCTTAGATGTAGCTTCAGCATTGTTTGTTTTAAATATTAGCTTTACAATATACACCATTTAATAGTTAATGAAAGATATGATGAAAGATATAAACATGCTTAGAAACACTTTTTGTTTTTTTTTAATTGTATGTCTTCCACTAACGCATGGTCCACACATGTGGACAGTTCAATAACTATTTAATAAAATTGATTTTTATATGAAATGAAAATTCATTTGATGTTTTATGCTGATCTGAGTAATGAAAATAAATTTTTAATACAATTTCTACTAATTTATGCATGAAAGGGCTAGAATGAGGACGAGGGCAGAAAATGTCATGGCTGACCCCTCACTGTGGTCACTCTCTCCATCTTAGTGAAGACCATAAGTGACAGCCCTAAAGACTTGGACCAACCACCACCTCCACAGCTTCTTTCTTCCAGCCATCATCCTCCTAAACAAGTGCCCTTCTAACATCCCTCTGCTTTAAACAGCTGCACATGCGCTTTTTTAAATGCCATAATCCTTCTGAATGAGAACCTTTCCCACTTTACTGTAGTTAGTGCACGTATGCACTTCAACTTGTTGCAGTATACATATTTTATGAATATGTTTACATTCATATTTAAACTTGCTGCTCAAATTTTCAAATCAGTACTCCAGTGCTTGGTTGTATCTGTATTTATCTTCTATTGCACATCATTGCACCTTGCAGTTTGTGTCCTGTCTATGTTTAGATGTAGTATGTCTTTTTTCTATAATTACTTTATACTTTAATTAAATTTAATTTTACGTTGACACCTGCACCAAGAGAAGTTCCTTGTACACCTGATACTTTTCATATACTGATTCTGATTCTTCTGATGTATCTTGAAGCTAGTAACCTTTAAACTAACTAAAAACACTTTGGGGTGGATACATGATGGAGGGAGTTTTGCAATGTTTGTTTTCCTGCTAGCTGGCTAATGCAGGAAGAAAGGCAGATAGGCAGGAAGTCATATATCACATCTGTATTTATAGGCCTCTATCTTCAGTGTCGTAGGGGGATTCCCAATGTTGCATGACATATTTGAGCTGTGCATGCTGGGTACTGTATTGAGAGAACACTGATGGGCAAAAGGATAAAAAGATAATACATTATGAATTGTGTCAAACCGATGAGGCTGAGGGATACAGTGCTATCATAACAAATAACATATTAAACTCTATTTGGCCTGAATGCACCTTTAAACTAATGGTTTACTAAAAATATAATAATATTAAAATAAGGCTGGGTCAACCAGAAAAAGATGATGGTTTCTTTTTCTTGATAGCTACATCAGCCTCATTGCTCCAGTACAAAATTCAAACAACAAACAGTTCCTGGCTGATCAGCTACGTTTAGGTAAACTCATGTAACTTTGATGCGCTGGTGAACCATTCTTAAGTTATAAGATTGTAAAACTGTTTCAGTGTCACACACTAAAGCTAAATGATATACAAAGTGCATAAACACTTCAACATTATTTTTGAAAAAAATGTCTTTATAGAGTGTACAGTAAGAGAAAGAAGCTTTCCTGAACCATAAAATGCAGATATTTGAGAAAGTAGACATGGAAGTAATTGATTTAGAGACCCATTTGGTCTAAATATTACATTTAGGAGTATTACAACACACATAGATAAAATGATCTTATATCTAGGTGACTTTGTGAGTACAACTATTTTGCACGTTTTCCACTGTAAAGCACTGTGAAACCAGTGAACTGGTCATTACTAGAGTCTTTACACAAGTCTTATGACCTAAACTGCCCAGTTTCCTGAAATCAGTATCATACAATTAAAGGGACAAACTGTAAAAACACAGTTTTTAGATAGTAGCTGAAATGTTTGATAAGAGTGGCAAACACTTCAGGTGACTTTCCCCTTCAAACGTTTCAACTAAATGCCTCGTGTTCGAGAAGCTGTTG